TGGCCGCGCCCGGCACAGCGCGCGATGGACGCCCCGGAGTGCGAGGCGGCCGCGGGGGCCGGGCCCCCAGCCTACCACTCGGTGGCCGCCTGGTGGGACATGGTGCGCAGGAACCTGCGGTGAGTACCGTGCGCGGGGACCCCGCGCCCCGAGGTCCTGGCTCTTCCCGGGGCCGCTGCCTCTGCTTGGGCCGGCGAGACTCGCAGCGCGCCCTCTTCGCGCACGCACACCGACACCGCTGCGGCTCCTGGCGTAGCGCCGGGCAGGGTGGGCTCCGTCGGGCTCCTGTGCCATGCTCTTTGCCTGACCATTTTTCTACCGTCTAGGATGGTTTGGGCGTCACCAGTCAGTGGCGATAATATACCGCACGCTGTAATCTTGGGTGGCGTCTTTCTGGGTCAGGGCCACCTCGGTGTCAGCAGTCACTCTCTAGGCACGCACAACAGCTAAATCTTTGACGAACGTTTTTTACTTTTTATTACCGCAGGTCTGCGGTGATTCCTTTCCCCTCGCTCCTATCTTCCCCCATCTCTCGGTGTCCTTTTCATGTACCAGAGACCTGGCTCCCTGTTTCCTATTATTTACCTTTCATTTTGTGCTTTATTTATACTTTGGGTTTCTCACGTAATAGAAACCATGCAAGGCTGGGAGTGGTGGCTCACGCCTGTTATGTCAGCTCTTGGGAGGCTGAGGCAGGGGGATTCCTGCCAGTTAGAGGCCAGCCTGGGCTACAAAGTGAATTCAAGGCCAGCCTCAACTGCACAGTGAAACCCTATCTCAAAAAGGATGAGAGAGAGAGAGAGAGAGAGAGAGAGACAGAGAGAGAGAGAAAGAGAGAGAAAGAGAGAGACAGAGAGAGCGAGAAGGGGGAAGAATATGCAGTATTTAAATTTGTGTATCTGATTTATTTCACTTGACATTATGGTCTCAAGGGGCATTTATTTTCCTAATGACTGACGTTTATCCTTCTTTATGGCACAGTAGTACTCTCTTGTGTATGAATACATTTCTTGGTCCATTCATCTATTGATAGATATGTAGGCCCCTTCCAAGTACTGCAAACATGTACTAATAGAAATAAAAATTATAAAAAGAACAGATCTCCAAGTGCTAAAGCTGTGTAGTGCATCAAGATCATAGCAAGGTCTTCCATGTTAAATTATTTAAATCTGGAAATATTTGTATATCAGAATTTTTTTTTAAAAAAAACCCTTTTTTTCCCCATGAATCATTGACTTGAATATGTCATCTTAAATTACCTCAATGGACTACTGACATACTGCCATTCTTGTTTGCACTGAAGCGAGGGAATGGCTGGAGACCCCGGGCCCCGGTCCTATCTGCCTCCTTTTGCTGATGTGTGAAGGTGTATTGGCAGTTTTGTTTATGCTGCTTCTTTCTGTTACTTTTTAAATTGTGCTGGTTACAAAATACTCTGGAATCATTTGCGGACGCAGGAGGTTCCCCTTTGCAGTGGCCACAGCCACGATGACAAACGGATCTTTCCTCTTCTGTTCCTTGCACGGCTGCGTGCGGAGGTCAGAGGTCAGAGGTCAAAGGTCAGAGGTCAGAGAGCAGTCTGACCAGTCCAGTCGTACAGGACTCATGACCCCCTTCTGGGTTAGATCTGAGCATCCAGCAGATTTTCCTGTCTGCACTTTTCAAACTTTACTTTCACAGGACTTTCCCCTGATATGGTTGTTCTCAGAAAGTTAGCAATTCTCTCTTACTCCGTTTCTCTCCTGTCTCTTGTGTTCTGTGTGGAGCCAGTGACTGGTTATTTAACATTTATTTGGCAGGACAGATCACTTATTAAGCAGAGAATCAAAACTGTGTTTTGTGCTCTTAGAGAACAACCCACTGTGTGGATGATGGAATGGGAGCTGGGAAATTGGGGACCCTGGTTAAAATACAGCACTACCTGAAAGAATAAAATACGAGCTGGGCATGGTAGTGCACGTCTGTAATCCCAGCACTCGGGAGGCTGAGGCAGGAGGATCTTTGCGAGTTCGAGACCAGCCTGGGCTACAAAGTGAGCTCAAGGCCAGCCTGAACTGTATAGTGAGACCCTGTCTCAAAGAGACAAAAAGACAAAGAATAAAACATGAGTGCATTTCTTCATCCAAACAGAAGATTGTGGATCTAATGAAAATTATATTAAGGTTGAGGCACAGACTCCCGCCCAGCGTCCAGAATCCTTTCTGTCTCTTGGAGCCAAGTGAGTGTGGATCAGCACACACTTGTGGAGGGAGGGCTTGCTGTGTGCCCATCACTGCTGTGGGGCTCAAGAGACACCCAATCCTGTGAGATTTTTTTGTGATCATCCTTAGTGCCTTGGTGATCTATTTATTTTACAAAAATTTCAGCAGACACAGTTGCTGCTTACGATGGGTGGACCCTGGAGAGGTACGTTTCCATGTGCAAATGGTTTTCTTTAGAAATATGAAACACATTCTCAGAAAAGAAGCTAGGCAAAGCCAAGGGCTGTTTTCCTCCTTGTTTCCCCTGTGTCACCCCAGGTCATCACATTTCTAAATTCTGCTGAGAAAATCCCCACGAGTGGGCTGATAGCCTTGCTCCTCTGCCTCGGCCCCGGACTCACAGGAGTGAATGAAACAGGCAAAAATGGCCACTCTTGAGGAGCTCATATTGATCCATTTTCAGCTGTAGTTGAAACAAAATGAATAAAAGAATAAAGCCCTCCCTCCCCCAAGCTACCAAGGAGCCTGGCTTCCTTCTCCCTTGGAAGAGAAGCACCTTCCTTCAGTCCTCAGCCTGGCCCTGTGCTCAGCAGATATTTATTGAGCTTGACCCTGTGCTAGACTGGGGGGTAAAGGAGTCCTTGTCTCCTGGGTGGTCCTGTGGCTGGGCTCTGGCCCACTGTGGGGGAAGAAGATGGCTAGTGATGGGGACACTGTCAGGGAGAGCCCTGCTGTAATTAGTGGTGGAAGGAGAAGAAGGGTCACCGTGGTCAGATCATGTGCAGGAGCTTTGACAAAGAGCGTACACTGGAGCGGCTGGAGGGGACCAGAGAGATTTGGTTGCGAGGGTGTAACCTGGTGAATCAGCACACAGCACGGATGCGCAGGTTGTCTTAATGTTTGGACTAGTTGTCTAGCCTCCTGGGATCCTACTTGGGCTCCGTGAAGGTAGGTGCCTCGGAGCGGGAAGATTCACCCTGTGAGCTCAGGCTCCACGAGATTCGCCATCCAGTTAGCTTATGTGTGGCCCCTGTGGGTCGCGCAGCCCGTATAGCCAACATGGATCAAAGGGCAGGGGAGGACCCCAAAGCTCCGAGGGCGGTTTGATACGGTTGGCTGGAAACAGGAATTGAACTGAAACTGCATCCTGTGTTCAAATAAGCTCTATTAGCCACTGGTGACTTTTGATCCCCTACTTCTGGGTGCGGGGAGTCGAATTGACAACCCCCTAGTTAAAAAGAAGTGCCTCTGCAGTATTGATTCTCCCCGGGACCTGGTCACTCTCTTCTCTTCCCGCAGTGCTTCTCACAGAAGCGCCCGGAGCTATTTGAGAGAAGAGGCCTATATGAATTATTCTTTAGAAAAAGAAACAACATATTTCCCTCTACTGCCTCTGCTTTCCAAGCAGACCTTCAAAAGCTAGCTTGGCAGGAGGCCACCCTGCCTACCTTCAAAAGCTAATTTACTGGGGCCTAACAGGCAGGGCAGCGGTGAGTGGCGGGGACTGGGGATTGGAGGGAGGAAGCAGGAGGCCCCAGCCTGGAGGAGGCGGTCTGTGCTCCCTCCTTCCCGTGCTGCCTTATTGGTGGCTCAGAGTAGCTTCTCTGGTTTTGATTCCTTATTTCTAAAATTGGAACAACAAGGTCCTTTCCTTCCCGCTGCCAGCATGGGGCTATTTTCAAGCATTATCAAAAAATCATCTTCATTTCTTCCTGGCTGATCTTGCTGAAGGTAATTCCCCGCGTGTGATGGATTTGAAGAGCCAGCCGTCCCCCTTAGCTTGCACATTTTTTTCTATTTCTTACAAAACTGCGGGAAACCCATCTGAGATTCATCACCCTCTCCCTTGTGTAAGTGCTCTTATTTTTAAGTCAGCAACACTTGAGGGAGAGACATGTTCTCAAGGGTCTTTGTTTGAGGACTTTATCAGAAGGGAGAGAAGACAGAGGGCAGGAAGGGGCCCTAAGAGAGGGCAGGGGTGCAGCAGAGAAGGGGACCCCAAATAAGGTTCTCAAGGGCAAGATTTCCCCAGAGGCCAGCTTCGTTCTTGGGATTCACTCTGTTTACAAGGATGGCAAGGAGAACTTAGCAGGACCGGGAGGGCTCATTGGGACCCTCAGGGCTCCGGGCCGAGGCAGACCGGGGTGTGCGTGTGGTTCATTTTCTGGCCTGTGACCTTCGGAAGGATTCTTAAATTTTCAGAAGCCTCCTTTGCAGAGCAACACAGTAAGAGTCATCTTTCACAATGCCGCTGATCTAGGGGAGACATCAGGGCAGGGGGAAACATAGGGCTTCCAGCCCCTCAATGTCACAGTTGGGTTACATCCAGAAGCCTTAACATGGACCCGTTCCAACAGGGGAAAGGCTTTCTTTAAGAGATGACAGGGACAAAAAATAGAAGCTGGACATGATGCCTTTGACCTTTTATATTTTTCTTCTCTCAAAGGTGGGTGACACTCTGGGCTTTCATGGGAGGTGCGGTTCATGCCAGAGGTGACGCTAGTGACCCCTCATGGACTGATCATTACTTGTCTATTGGTGGCGCCTGCTGGGGTGGTTTGTGTCACAGAGAACACTGGAAGAAGCAAGCAGCACAGGGCCCCCTCGTTCTCTGAGCAGGCTCTGGGTCTCCCTGTCCTCCCTACTCCTCACAGGCGCCCCCCGTCCAGGAATGTCACCTAAGACATAGTGGGCTCTTCGTTCAGTTCATTGGCTTATTTCTCCCTAAGAGCCGGTCAGAGGAGAGGAGAGCTAATACTCATTCACTCAGTGCCCTAGATCGGAATCATAATAGCTGACACGTGCAGCGCTGAGGTGAGATATTTAAAACCGGGCAACTATTAAACCCTCGTGTCCTGTTTAATGATGATTTTGGGGTCCAGCCTTGGCCTTCTATGGGCTGCACCAAGAGGATAAGCCCGACTCTGCTGCAGCCATCGTCCCTTCCCTCCTATCCCTGCCATGCCCTGGCCAGTTGAGGGGCTGGTGGGGGCACTGCCTTATCATCCTCCTCACCTCCTGCCCCTCGGTGCCCAGCCCAGAATATTGCATGCAGTTGTGTAAAGGATTCCATGCAAGAGCCAGGTTACCCAGTGTGGTGGATTAATAGCTGGTGGTCAACTTGTAACACCCAGCTGATCTGAGTCAGCATGGTGCTGCGTGTGGGAGGCCAGCCTGAGGGTTGTTGCTGGCAGCGTAAGAGGCAGAACTAGAGAGGATAAAGTTTAGAGGCTGTTGAGAGCTGGTAGAAGCTATTGGGAAGCTGTTAGGAAGCTGTTAGGGAGCTGCTGGTTCTGTTGGGCTATTCTTCTGGAGGAGCTTGTCATGCTGGCTTTCCTGATGAACTTGGTTGTTCTCATTGGAGAAGGAGCTCGGGACCTCATTGTCACTGAGAATGGCTACGGTTCCCTTTGGGGGAGCTCTGGTCCTCACTTTGAGCATCGCTTTCTGGCTCTGGAGGGGAAGATGATGCACTGCCAGTCTCTTGGAGAAGTTTTTCTCATTGGTTTTCCTGATGAGAACTTGGTTTTCCTCATCATCAGAGGAGCTCAGGACCTCACTGTTGCTGAAGATGGCTGTGGTACTTTTCAGGAGACCTCTGGTTCTTACTTTGAGTGTTGCTTCCTGGCTGCAGTTCAGATCCCTCAGCCTGCTAGCACAGATCCTTCATCGCGCTGGCACTTTCTAGCTTCCACCGCTGACCTTTGGCCTTCCCAGCACAGATTAGTGAAACAGGCCTGCATGAGACATTGTCCTGAGTTCTAGGCCTCCTGTTGGACTCATGGGAGGTATTGTTATGGGCTCTAGGTCTTCAGCTGGACTCCTGCAGGATATTCCTGTGGGATCTAGACCCTCAGCTGGATTCCTTGGGCCTTAGTGTGTGGACAGATTTCCTGCACTCTCTTTGCATATAATTCTCTGGGTGACTGTTATAAATAATCTTATAAAATACATGTTCTGTATTATATTGTTCCCCTTGCAAATCCCCAAACCACAACACCCAGAATTCCTAATGTTAGTCTCTGAAATTTGACTTGAACCTTAAGAGGAAAGCAAAACAAAACAAACCAAAACGACGACAGAAAACATCAAGACAAAACATGGATTGATTCTGAAAACCTTATTTATTTCCCAATGTCTTGCAGATGGTTCCCAAACTCCTGTTTGGCTCTTGGAAGAAAAATTGCAGCTATGTATAACAGCTTTACTAGTAAATCATTAAAAGAACACATTTGCCCTCCTCTGATGGAAATGCTAGTTTATTTTAATTGCTGTAAGTATGAACCTTCCATGAATTTTTCTATATAATGTTTTTCTTCCCAAATAAAGAACTTCCTGTGTGTAAAGTTGATGGAATGAGAAAGGCTTGTCAGTTATAACATAGTGCCTCAGCTTGTCTGAACCTGGGCAATACCGACTCTGGATCCCAGCACGGATCCTTCTGAACCATCGAGAACAGGCACACGGCCTTGTGACCTGAGTTTCAGTTCAGGAGCTCAGTCTTCAAATGAGCTTGATTTGGATAGCTGACTGCTCACAGTATTTCCTGCTTTTCTCCTGCCTCTTCTTCCTGCATCACCTAAAGAAAGAGGAAAAGGAGGAGGAGAAAGAGGATGAAGAAGAGGCAGAATCTATGTTTCAGTGTTTTTGTTTTTTACCTGAGTGCTACTCAGCATAGCACCACCTTAGCTCTTAGTGCCCCCTGGTGTGTACTGATCTCTTACCTAACAAGTAGGTTTCACTTAGCAGAATATCCATTGTTTTCTTCTGGGCCCTCTAATGTCTTGAAGGCAGTGGTTTCCTCTGGTTTTAGCTTGAGACAAGGATAAAGTCTGAATAAACTCTTTTACTATATATATGTTAGGACTACAGCACTGGTGCTATTTTAAGATTTAGCTTCCGGTTTTACTGTTTATAACTCTTCTGCGGGCTGGTCCGAGTGGATAGAATACTTTGATAGTTTAGTGGATTGCAACTTAGAAACCTGTTCATCTATGGGGACGAGTTCTTCTTGATTATGATGAAATGGCACAGAATTTGATTCTGAGGGTTGACTGTGATTTCTACTTTCCAGGCAAATCCCCATTTCTTGTGGATTTAAAGAAACCGGAGGTAAAGGTCCCGCACACGGTGAACTTCTACATCAAGCCTGAACCTGGGGTGGTCCTAGGAGTCTGGTGAGTGCAGCGATGGGACCCGGGCTTGCACGATGGTAGCGGGGAGCCAGGCCGTGTCACCTGCCTGTGCGGAGCCTGGTGCTCCTTGGGGCACCTGGGAGTCACTGGTGAAATCTGATCTGCTTGATTTTGCTTTTCAGGAACTTTGCTTTGAAGTGTGAAATCTTTTAGGTGTTTCCCTTAGCTTCTGGCCCTACCCACTTCTGTGTCATTCTGCAACACCCTTGCTGTGTCCCTCTGCTGTAGACACACGGGCCTCTGGCACACCACACCAGGGCCCCCTAGGGGGTGCTTGCTCTCCTCCACTCTCTCCTTGTGTCTAACTGCTCCTCCTCTTTTTGGATCTCACTAGCTGGTGGTTTTTAGGAATCCCCATTCCCCATGTTAGGTGAGTGCTCTTGTGGCATCTGTGCTTGTCCCTTTCAACATTTCTTCGTACCGAAATGACTTAAATGTTGGTGTGATTATTTGCTTAATATTTGACTTCCTTACCAGACATGGCTTTTATGGGTGACAGGACTTTGTGGTGGGTTTTCACCAATTAGCATAATTCTTAGCACATAGAAGGCACTTGATAAATATCTGTCAAATGAAGTCCTGAGTATTCTATTATCTTCTTCTGTTATGGTAGTTTCAGTGTTCTCTGCTATTTGTTCCTACTATTTGTATTTGGCTGCCAAATTTCCAGTACCCTGTTCTACATTTCCTGTCTCTGCGTGTAAACCTCTGGTCACTGAATGCTTAGGTCACTGTCTGCACGTAGCTTCTTCCCAATCTGCAAATGCTTTAGCTAATGGTGTTGGAATTTAGAAATCTTGATTCTTTGCTTTTACTCCATAGGTTCTGGGTTTGGTGGGCAGCTATGCTCACCATGACCAGCTCATTAGTGGGTGCTGGTGCCTATTTCTCAGTGCAGAGGCCTGGGGGCTGTGGCAGATTCTCTGTCCTTTAGTGATTGCAGGGACTGAAGATTTTTACAAATCTTCAGTGACACGTCAGGTGGCAGCACGTACATTTTCAGGGTTCATTCACTGGTATAATTGGCGCTCACTGGTGTTTAATGTCACAAGGTCACTTGATTTTTTGAGTGGAATAGCTTAGCTCCATGGTAAAGTTTTCTTCCCCTACATGAGCTGGTTTCCCTTTAAATTCCTTTCAACTTGTCTTTTCAGCCAAACCGGTGGCAGATGGTGTATTAGTCAGGTTTCTGTTGCTGGAACAAAATACCTGACAGACACAACCTAAAAGAGAAAAAGGTTTATTTTGGCCCATGGTTTAAGTCCTGGTTGGCTGGCTCTGGGGCAGAAATGAAACAGCAGAAGGGTGATAGAGGGAAGCTGCGCAGCTCATGGCATCAGGAAGCAGAGAGCAGGGCAAGAACAGAGACAGAAGGGGACAGGATGTACCCTTCCCAGGTGTGTCCCCAGGGACCCAGCTCCTCCAGCCAGGCCCTGCTGCTAACTGCACATATAGCCCTGAACTCATCAACAAATTAATCCACTGATGAGTGCAGTGCCTCTGTGACCTAATCACCCTCCAAAAGCCCCCTCTCTGGACATATGAGCCCTCGGGGGACATCCCTGATCCAAACCATAGCAGATGACAAGAATCTATTAACTTTTACGTGTCCCCCCCCACCCCTTTTTTGGTCATTTCAATGTCTCAGACCTAAAAACTATAGTTTTGGAAGCTTATTGGGTCCAAAAGTCAGGAGAACTAATCCAGAAAATAGTTAAAAGGGGTTGTCTCTGTGCATTGGGTTAGGGGAGTTGTGGTTTTTCTGATAGGATAATTCATCATATAAGATTTTTATTTTTACCTTGTGATATATTACTCAGATACATATTTGAAAGCTGTACATAAGAACAGAGGGAGGGCTTGGACTCTGGCAAGACAGAAACCCCTGTCTATGCACTTGTCTGTGAAACCCCTGCCTTGCTTTGCAGGCACATGGTCCCCAGCTGCCGGGCAGAAGAAGCCAAAGGGAAGGACCGTTGCTGGTATGAGGCGGCCCTTCAGGACGGAAACCCAATTATTGTGTATCTTCATGGCACTACAGGACACAGGTCAGTGCCTCAGTTTGGATTTTTAAAGAGAGATTAAGAGCATCTCAGCGCCATGGGCAGTGAAGAAATGTGCAGATAGGGCTGGGTTTTCCACAGCTGTGAGCAACCTTCACCAATTCCTTTTTCTTTGTTGAAATCTGATGGCGCTCTAGCAAAAACCTTTTGAAAAGATTGTTCCATAAGTAGAGTCATGTGGCTCCTTAACCAAGAGGGAGAAAAGAATAATTCTTCCAAAATCTGGGTATTCATTTTAAAAAAGGCAGTGGTTTCTTTACTCCCTGAGAATATCCAAAATGGCAGACTGAACCTATTGTCAGAATCAAAATAGAATTGCTTTTGTCAAGCCCTCACCAAGATTGAAAGCAAGCAAGCCATGAGGTTTTGAAGGAGAGGATTTCATGCATTTATGCCGCATAACAACCATTCCCAAAGACTCCACCAAAACCACAGCCTTGCACACAGGCCGCGGCAACTTTACACAAAAAATATGTGTGCAAGGACACGTACACACAGGTTGTCTGTTCAGCCGCAGACTGCTGCCACCCCTTTGACTAATCCATGTAGCCAAGGATTATTATTTCAAAATGCTTATATAGTTCTCATTTGGCCCTAAAAATTTCTCTTTGCCTTAACCTCTTTGAATATGGCTGTAGCTTGCTATGGCACAGGTATTCCCGTTGCAATGCTCCGTTAGTCCCAAATATTCTTCAGATGCTTTTTGGAGAATCTCTGATTATTTAGGTTGACAAAGCCACAGATGACCGGAAAGAGGATAGGCATGCATTATGGGGAAAAAGAAAAACAATTTCTACATCAGTGGTCTTTTCAGAAGACTGCAGTAGAGAGTGCTTTATTTAGCATTAATTCTGTTCATCAAAAAATACAACTCCTAAGAGAAATCATCTGGAATTCTGACCACAGTACAGGGAGCATCTGATGAATTCTAGTCTAGAATATTCATCCCTCAGCTCACTCTATGGTGTCAGCCTTGCTTTGTAGTGAAGATAGTCTCCCCAAAGTCTGTCCCAAAAGTCCTTTGATGTGCTGTCAGAGCCTTCCTGGGCCTGAGTAATTACACTGGGTGATGATTATTGGCCATGGCTATTCCTCCTCAGCCTGGGGGAGGGCCAGTGTGCCTCAGAAAGCCACTGATCTCTCTCCATCTCTGGGAGGACACCCTTCGTACTCAGGGACAAGCTCTGGAATCAGCCTCTTGGCTAGCTTGCCTTGGTCTCGCTTTCCCATTGTCTTTGTCAGCTGATGGCTTTTTCAAAACTTGCCTTTTCTCTTGACGTGTTCATTTTAGAATCACACTTCCTGGGATCATCTGACAATCATCTGACAATTTTCTCACAGTGTGAACTTGGATCTGGTGTTACTTTGAGTACTATGTGGACATATGGCCGCATCTGTGCCTCTGTATAAATCTGAGATGGTTCTCAGTTGTCCTAGATTTGCGCTGGGCTTAGCCCCAGCTTCCTTTTGTCCTCTGCCTGGAAGTCTCAGCTTGCAGTCAGTAGTACTGAGCCAGAAGTACTAGGTACTGAGCACTCCAGCAGCCTTGCTAATGCATCAGAAATGGTGGTTCTGGACTTGATATCCATGGAAGCCACAGAGGGCCCATGAACCACCTGCCTCAAATTATATATAATACTCAAAGTGTGGGTGCAAGCTTCAAATGGTTTGTAATGAAAATAAGTGTCTTTTGAATCATGTACTTTCTTTTGTGAATGTAGGAGTAGCCAATATGATCATTTCGGGAAAAATTTTTTTTTTTTTGTATCTCTAGGGTGGTGAATCTTTCCCCCACTTCACCTTGCCTTTAATGGTAGTGAGGGTGGGATACAGGCAAATTTTAATTTAGTGCAACTTGGCTGTACCATCTTTTTTTTTTTTTCTGAAAAAGCTACTTTCTGGCAGTTACTTTCCCTTTAGCTTCTAAAAGTGTTCCCAGAGATAATTTTTGCGGCATGAAGGGAAAGAAGAAGCCCATAAGTGCTCAGGCTGAGGAGCTCAGGAGAGATTCAGGTATCCAGTGCTCCCGGACCCATCAATAGGCTGCAGCTGTGGGGAGCCATGGATTATCCACTAGCCACATATGAGCTGGTTCTACCTCCAAGAAATAGCTCCCTTTCTCTAGTTATTTATTTCTCTCACCTAAAAAAGAAAGGTGTGAAATGGGATGTGAGCAGCATAAGAGTGATTTTCACTGAAAGTCACCATTGTAGTTCCTAATTCTCGCTTTTTCCTTTAACATCCTGTACAGGGGCACTTGTCGCAGGTGTGAGCGGATAAAGGTAGGTTTGAAGGGGCTTCAGAGCACCTGGCTCCATTGATTCTGGCCTGGGCTGTGTCCTCAGGACGGTGGTCTCTTGATAGGGCCCGGGGTCCTGGTCAGGGTGGGCAGTGGTGTAGCGGACCAGAGTCTCACATGTGGACCTCTCTTCTGATCTTGGCCATGTGGGACCCACACAGATGTGGCCAAACACTGCCATGAATTTATTCCCTTCATCTCCACATTGAAGACACTTTTCACTGTTTTTTATTCTTTACTTTTCCTGAGGGCTGGGGCAGGCCTCCTGTTGGTGGGTTGCCATACTCCGGTTAGGTCATCTGGATGGCTTTTCCACTGCAAACCCCAGAATTGCCTCTCCCCCCACACAGGGCCCCTGCCTGACAACATAACCATGTCCCCGGGGCCTGTAGTGCTGCCTCAGTGTCTCCAGCACCGTGTGTGATGGAAGCTCCTCTCCTGTCGCCCCCTCCCCCAAATCACTTTCTGGTCAGAGCCGCTCCCGGCCTAGCAGTGGTGGCGGGATGAGTCTGTCGGAGCAGGATGTCCCCTTATTTGTAGGTTTGCCCTGCACCCACCTTGGCTCTTGCTCTCCCTACTTGGGGTGTGGAGAAACTGCTGTCCATGGCCTTATGCACCCTTCCCCTCCCTCTCGAAGCTGAACTGCACATCCTGCCATCTCCAGAAAGCGGACCCGTGGGTATGAACAGCAGTCAGCTCATCCCTGTGCAGTAGGGTGGGTAGGACGGACGGTAGCTGGCGTGGCAGGACTGTCCCCAGGTACATTCCGGCCATCAAGAGCTGTGTCATTCCTGCCCAACAGGACAGCTTCCGGGGCCCTTCCTTTCCTCCTCTGGATAAGCGATTTCTTTTAAAAATAAATCTTAAAATTCTACTTCCTCTCTTCCTTTTTTCCCTCCTTCCCTCTTTCCCTTTCGTGTTCCTTTTCCCTTCCATTCTTTCAATCACCAAATGCAACTGTTTTCATTTATTTACATTCTCCCCAATCTTTCTCTCGTTATATAAGGTTTTTGTCACTGTGACTGTATCGTTCTATAATTTTATGCTGTGTACTTAATACTATTTTATAGACATTCGTCTATGTTTTACAAAATCCTCAGAACCAAAGGCTGTGTCATTCTCCATTTTATTTATAAATAGCTATTTACCTAACAATGCCACTGATCTTGTAATAACATTGTTTTCTCTGGATTCATTTTAAATAGTTGCTACAGAAAACTTGAAGCCTCTAGTTTTCTGTTTCCCTTCTTCTTTGTGTATTTCCTAGTGGCAAATTCCTAGAATTTGTTGTTGTCCTTGAGTTGTGTTGTCAAGGTATCCTTCAATAAAAGGCTTAAGCAGCACATGGATATTCCCATTTCCCAGGTGCTTAGCTGCCAGGGGCGCTTTGAAGTTTGGATTGATGTTTAAGAGTTTCATTTAGTTTGTCCTCAGTAGCTCAGTGTGTGTGCAGAAGTGCTTCCTGCTATAGTCCTGGAACACACGGACATCCAGCTGTGGCTGTTTGTTCTCTCTAACCAACTGGGTGACTCTGGACCAGTTACTGAAATCCTCCAGTGCTGATTTCTTGTTGTTTTATTTTACTTCTTTAGTGGTTTGTTTTGTGATACTAGGAGACAAAAAAAAAGGGGACAACCTTTTACTATTCAGGCGCTTGAAAAACTGTATTGAACCCTCACAACAGATCGACAGGATACATATCCCCATTTTAAATTTAAAAACTTAAAGTGCCCATACAGTAAAATCTGATCCCATTTTTATGTCTCTTCTCTTTGTCTATGATTATATTTCATTTCATGTTTTCACCATCTTTCCTTCTTCACCTATGAGGAGCTTGACAGGGGCTCCATATGTGAGAGTGAGATAGCTATTTATTAGCGCAGGTTTGCGGGACCCAGAGCTTGCATCCCTTGTGAGGCGCTGGCACATGTGCACAAAGCATCCTCATTCCTTCTTCATTCTTTCCCACCCCTCCCCCATCTCTTATTCCCCTTCTCATTTGAGAAGGATCTACCCCCCTACTTCCTATTATCTACCCCCCTACTTCCTATTATCTATATTTTATTTTGCTCTTTATTTGCTCTTTATTTATAATTTGGGTTTCTTGTGTAGGAGAAGTGATGCAGTATTTAAACTTTTGTGTCGGATTTGTAGGTCCATCCACAGATGAGGGGATAAAGGAAGTGTGGTATTTAAACACAAGTACCACTATGCTATAAAGACGGACGCATTTGAGTCATTTGTAGGAAAATGACTGCACCTTACGACCATGATACTAAGTGAAATAATTCTTTATTTTTGATTAAACTCAACTCTTTTTTTTTTTTTTTCTTTCTTCTGGTACCGGGAATCGAACTCACGACCTTGCGCTTGCCAGGCAGGTGCTTTTGCCACTGAGCTAAATCCCCAGCCCCTAAACTCAACTCTTTACCTGATCATATGTGATATAAATATCTTCCTGATATTTGATTGCCTCTACTACACCTCTGCAGAATTTCCTCCCTTCCTCCCTCCGTGTCCTTTTTCCAGTGCTGGCGATCAGCCCCTGAATCCCCACACCTCCTGGGCAAGGGTTGTCACTGAGCCCCAGCTCCAGCCCCAGCTCAGGGAACTCTGAGAAAGACACTTATGTGCTATCAGTATGTATCACAGCCATATAATCCTTCCCAGCAACTTTGAAGGTGGCCATGTTTTCATTTCTCAGAATAACAGTTCACACTTCAGAGTGAGATGACGTGGCCGAGGTCGCAGGGTGAGAGCAGGGCCCGGTGTGACTCAGTTGTCTGGTTCCTGCTCTGCCTGGCTACGTGACGCCTTCCCCTTTGAGTCTGACCTCAAGTGTGAGAGCAAACATCAGATTTCAGAAACACATTTTCCTCACCTGTTAAACTGCTGCAGCCAGGGACCCGGATGTGTGGAGGAGACTTTTCCGTGTCTGTCTTCTAATCATTTGAGCTCTTTTGTTACCTAGGTGCTGAGTGACGGTGGCTTTCATGTCCTGTCTGTTGATTACAGAGGTGGGTGTTCAGAACAGCGTGCAAAGGGTTTTTAATACTTAGAAAGCTTTCGATGGCCCTATGTTCTGAAGGAAGTGATATTGTGATTGCCTTTTCTTCCTGCCAGGGTACGGGGACTCTACGGGGACACCCACTGAGCAGGGGCTGGCGGCGGATGCTATTTGTGTCTATGAGTGGACCAAAGCAAGAAGCGGCCGCACCCCTGTGTGTCTGTGGGGCCACTCTCTGGGCACAGGGTAAGTGTGAGCTGAAGGTGTGTCCCTCAGAGTGTCCCTGGGGCCTTCGAGGCCCATCAGAGGCAGCAGGGAGCTGTGGTAAGCGCTATGGTAGGAGACAGGGACTCCTCTCTCGAAGGGGTGAGAGGTCTTTCTATCTCTATGACACTGAAGTCCATTCTGAAACTCTCAAGAATTTTTTTTTTTAAAGACAGGGTATCACTAAGTCACCAAATCTGGACTAGAACTTGTGATTTTCCTGCTTCAGCCACCCAGAGTGCTGGGATTAAAAATTCTCCTTGAGAGTTTTAAGAAAAAGGTCCTTGATTTAGATATTGATTTAGAACCCCTTGCAGTCTTGTGCAAGCTCTCTGCATGTAGATTTCCCCACCAAAGAGCCTCATTTTATTTTATTTTTTTTTATTTTTTATTTTTTTTGGTTTTTCTCTGGTACCGGGAACTGAACTCACGACCTTGCACTTGCCAGGCAGGCGCTTTTGCCGCTGAGCTAAATCCCCAGCCCAAGCCTCATTTTAGATGCTGCGTTTTGTCATATTTACTTGACTGCTTAGTTCACCTGCTTGACTGGAAGCTTCACCTGTGTGCAAATTGTCATTATTTTATAGAGTCGCCACAGATGCTGCCAGAATCCTGGAAGAGAGAGGTAATAAATGCTTACACGCTACCCTGTCTTGAGCTGGGAATGTAAAGGCAGTCGGGGGCTGTCCTGTATGCTTTGAAGGCACAGATACCGAAAGCATGTCACTGTTGGAGAGTTTTTAGCAGAGTAACACATTTTCTTTATTCTCCTTCCTTTAATATAAAATGACAGCTGCTTTTCCAGGCTAGGAAATTAGTATTCTAAGGGATAAAATTACGTTCAAAAGACTCCTTTTTGTGAAATTACAGAATTAATTTGAGTTATAGGGCAGGAAATTCATACATTATGAAATGACAGGCAGGACTTGCTTTCTGTAGCAATATGACACAATATTTGTATCAGTATTTCTCAGAGTGACCTGCAAATAGCTTGCATTGGAATCTGTTGAGTATGCTTATTTAATTGCATGTTTCTTGGAGACTCAGTGGTTGATGGGTTAGAATCTCTGTGAATAGGGCCAGGTTATGTCTTTTTCAAGATCTAAAATTAGAATTTACTCCATCCATAAAGATGGTGGATAAATAAAAGTATTTGTTACCCTAATTCTAGCCAACTTAAAAATTCCAAAGCCCAGGGCTGGGGATTTAGCTCAGCGGCAAAGCACCTGCCTGGCAAGCGCAAGGTCGTGAGTTCGGTTCCCGGTACCGGAGAAAAACCAAAAAAAATTCCAAAGCCCAGTATCTGCTTTAATTTTTTTTTTTTTCCAAAGCCCAGTATCTGCTTTAAGTCTTTTTCCAGTGGTACTGGGGATGGAGCTCAGAGCTTTGTGCATGCTAGGCGAGTGCTACCACTAAGCCACACCCTCAGCCCCTTTTGCTGTAATTTTGTGTGTCTAGGTATTTTTCATTTAAGTGCTAGCAAATGTTTATAGAAAATACCAGAGAAAATGTAAAACTTCTGGAAAGAATTTACTTTTCTCCTGAAAGGCAGTGATGGTAGGGAATAGATCTCTTCAGTCCAAGCGGAGATTGAGTTGATTTGAAGCTGGGCTTCAGACTCCTTAACTGGCTTATTTCTAGCACACTGTTACTAATGTGTAGTCTTTTGACCTCACAGCCAAGAGGCCGAGAAATGTTCTGGAGGCCTCCCCTTTGCCAGATCGTGAACTCTAATTCCTGTCCTTTTGGTTCTGGGAGAATACTAAAGAAAGATTCTGTCTCCTCCCCTCCCCTTTCCTCCCTTCCTCTCCTTCTGGCTCCTCCCCTCCCTTCCCCTTCCCTCCCCTCTTCTCCTCTCCTCCCCCCTCCCTGCCTCACTTCTCTGTTTCTTTTTTTGCGGTAAGAGGCTCAAACCCAGGGCCTTTTCACTGAGCTACACTCCCAGCCCTTTTTATTATTTTGAGAGTGGGTCTAAATTGCCCAAGCTGGGCTCAAACTTGCCTCAGCCTCCCACTGTACTGGGATTACAGGCATGCACCACCGTGTCCAGGTTCTGTTTAGTTCCTAATCCTGTCAACCACCACCGTTGCTTTCAGTTTAACTGCTTTGAGGGAAAATGCAGCTGCAACTGTCTGGGCTTTTAGTTGCTAATGTCTTGTATTTTTGTTATTATTTTCAAGGATGTCCAGTTGATGCCATTATGTTGGAAGGTGCATTTTCCAACATCTGGGTTGCGAGTATCAACTATCCCTTGTTACGGGTGAGCCTCCGGTTCCTCAAGGCCATTTCTTCACATCTGTATCTGTTACCTTTCTTCCTTTCCATGGCTAGTTTTATATGTTCCTAAGTTATTCTAACTTGTGTCAAAATTCATTAACCCGTTAGAGTGGAAGGGGACACAATGGCTTTTAGATTTTCTTTTAACAGATTAAATGGCTTATTAAGAACAAGCAAAAACCTTTTTTCCCTGTTTTGTTTTCTCATTGGTTGTACTTCTGACCTTTTATAATTTTTAAGCTTGAATTACCTTAGGTTTATTACTTACTGTCATTCATATTTAAAGTGATTTATCCTTTTCTGATCTTTTTTGAGACAGGGTCTAATTTGCAGTTCAGGCTGGCCTTGAGCTCACTTTGTAGCCCAGGTTGGCCTCAAACTCACAAGGATCCTTCTGCCTCAGCTTCCCAAGTGCTGGGATTACAGGCGTGTACCACCACAACCAGCTCATATTTAAAGTGAAAGTCGACTTCCATTCATCATTTTTAGACCCATGAATGTCAGCCATATATGTTTCATGATTTATAACATGAAAATTTCTAGGAATTCAAGGAAGCTGCTAAATGCATCACATAGTCTTCCACACAGAGAACACACACTTCCCAAGAAAATAAGTACAAAGAATTGGGCCACAAGCTGTAGTTTTAAAAATCTGAAGTGTATTATTAATTTTATAGTTTTGTCCCATATAAATGGTAGCAGACCTATGTGTGTGTGTGTGTGTGAAAGAGAGAGAGAAGGAGAAGGAGCTTTAGAGGGTGAAGGGCCTCAATTTTAAAGTTGTTATTTGATGCTCCAAAGGATTGCGGAGGTATTTTAACCTGTTTGCTTTCTGAATTTCTGTACTGTAGGTAGCACAGAACTTTCTGAAATGAACTATTTTCAGGAGAAGGTAGCTCACTACTTTCTGAGCTAGCCAGTTCACAGAATCACAAATCTTGAAAATGCCATTACTACTTAAAACTTGTTGTAGTACAAGAATCTCCTCTATAATTGAAGACACTTAAGTTACTCAACTGAATATTGAATACTTTAAGATGTAATGAATGCAACATTTTCAATTGGCTCTAGGCAATTGAATATTTGTACTATCATCAGTAATTGAACATGTATTATATTTAATTAATAACGAACAAAATCATTAAATTTTGGGTAGGTGAAAGAATTCAGTGCAATCTTTTTCATTTAGTTTTTTAAAAAATTAGTTTTGCAATTCAGTGAAATACAAAAGCATAGGGTTTAAGAAATCCTTATAAACTGAATCCCTATGTAATTGTCACCTATGTCATGAAATCAGCGACACCAGCACCCGGGAAGTCTTCTGTGTTTCACTTCCCCGTTTTCTAACCCTCATTTTATAGAACCCTTGATGCTCAGAGGTAGCCCTTAGGCTTCTGTGGTTGTCTCATCAATGTACTTCTTCACAGTGTTGTTACCTGCGTGTGAATTTCTAAAGAATATAGTTTTGTCTGTGTTTGAACTTTATATGTAAATATAATTATACAGTGTGTTCTATTTTTTAATCCTACATTTTTGGGATTTTATGCTTGACAATGGGTCATTTTCATGACTACATATGGTAATACTCCTTCTTTCCCTTCTCCCCCTCCCTCCTTCCCTTCTTCCTTCCTTCTTCTTTCTTTTCTTTTCTTTTTTCTTTCTTTCTTTCTTTCTTTCTTTCTTTCTTTCTTTCTTTCTTTCTTTCTTTCTTTCTTTCCTTCCTTCTTTCTTTCTTTCTTTCTTTCCTTTTTTCTTTTTCTTTCTTTCTTTCTTTCTTTCTTTCTTTCTTTCTTTCTTTCTTTCTTTCTTTTCTTTCTTTCTTTCTTTCTTTCCTCCTTTCCTTTCCTTTCCTTTCCTTTCCTTTCCTTTCCTTTCCTTTCCTTTCCTTTCCTTTCTTTCTGTACCAGGAATCACACTCAGGACCTTGTGCTTACCAGGCAGGCACTGTGCCATTGAGCTTTATCCCTGGCCTGGTAGTATTTCATTACATGATCATACCACAATTAACTGATCTAGTCTGCTGTTATGGATACTTGCGTCCCTTTCAGCTTGGGGCAACTAAGAATTTTGTTGTGAATGTTCTTGAATCCACATTCTACGAACACGGGCAAAAATTTCAGTGGCTTGTGCCCTGGGAGGGGCACAGTTGAGGTATAAGTGATGCATCTGTTGAGCCCTGGTAGGCAGCCAAGTAGTTTTTCAAAGGGACTTTCCCACTTGCTTTCCCAACCGAGCATGAGGATTCCAGGTGCATCACATCCTTGCCCTCATCTAATTGACCTCTTGTGAAATACTTGCTCATGTCTTTTATCAGTTTGGATGTAAGTCATTAGAAAAGTATTTGCATTGCATCTACACGCCAGTATTGTGTTTTGTCTTTTTGCTCTTAATGGTATATCAGGATAAAGAAACTGTTCCTAAATATAACATGGAGCAGTTTATTAATATATTTCTTTATAATGAATATTTTGTGTCCTATATTTTAAAAAAAACTCTGCTTACTCAAATATTAGGAAGATACTTTTCTATATTATCTTCTAGAAACTCTATTTTACTTTTGACCTTGTCAGCTACCATTCACAGGTTTGGATTTTTGTATGGCACTACAGATCCGGTTGGCCCAGTGTTGCTCACTTATTAAAAGGAGCTTCCCCACCACTCAGCAATTCCAGTTTGTACACACACCACACACACACACACACACACACACACACACACACACTCCTGCTGTACTGTCACCTTTTAATTGATTTAGCTTTATAATAGGTCTTGATATTTGCTGTATAAGTTTTCCAGCTTTGTTCTTACTCAAGAGTGCTGGGGCTATTCTTTTTGTTGTTCTTGTTGTCATTTATTTATTTGTTTGTTTGTTTGTTTGTTTGTTTGAGACAGGGTCTCACTCTGTAGTCCAGGCTGGTCTTGAACTTGTGGCGATCCTCCTGCCTCAGCCTCCTGAGTGCTGGGATTACAGGTGTGCACCACCACACCTGGCCTCTGTGGCTATCCTTGATCCTTTGCATTTTCATGTACAGTTTTGGATGTTCTTGTCGATTTCTACAAAGAAAATCCCTGTGACTTTGGGATTGCACTGGATCTATACATCAGCTGGGGGGAGGATTCACACCTTCCTAATATTGAGCCTTGTAGTTTGTGAACACTGTATTACCATTTACTTCTGTTTATGTGTGTTTGTTATGTAGGGTTCTCTAGTTTTAGCTTCAGGCTGAATTCTCCTGGATGCAAAGCCCAAGGCAGGGATGAGGATTGTGTGGTTACTGAGGAGATATGTGTGAGGGAAAAAGCTGAGGGGAAGGAAGATAGTAGCATAGGGACTGGAAAGAGCAAGACATGGGTGTGACCTCAGGCAGAGACAAGCTTTGGTGACCTAGCCATCCAGGTGGGGCACTGGGCTCGGAAGGGGCTGTCGCTTCTGCTCTCCTGGAGTAGGAGTAGAGGGGAGGGTGGGAGGCTGGTATAAGCTTCCAGGAAGAGTGGCTTCTGTCAGCCAATGTCAAGGAAAGAAGTACTGTGCCCCTTTAGCAGCCAGCACTCACAGCAGGAGCTAACTTTAATAGACTTTTCCAATAACCAACTTTGTGTTTTCTATCTTTACTGCATGATTTCTATTTTATTAATTTTTAGATTTCCCTTTATTATTCCCTTTCCTGTTACCTCTCAGCTTTCTAAGATCAAGGATATTATTCCCTTCCTGTATTTTTCTTGAATGTGTTCCTTGACAGTGTTTTGAGATGGTACTTATTGATCATCTAATAACTTATACTCAGTATTTCTCCACCTCTATTATATGCATGAGGATATATTCTACCTAAGCCATACTGCTGCTACATCCAAGTTTTGAAATGTGTTTTATCATTTGGGTCAACATATTTTGTACTATTATTGTTTTCTTCTTTGATGACATAGGCCATTGAGAACTGCATCTCAAAACTCCTGTACATGTGGAGATTTTATTATTATATTTGTTTTTGATTTCTACCTTAATTCTACTGTGATCTAAAAATATACATTGTATTATTTCAATCTTTTGACATTTAACGTGTGCTATGCCTCAACATATGGTAATTTTGGTGAATTTTCCACATTCTTAAAAAGAACATATTCACTGTTTTGCTGTGGTATTCTATTTATGTCAAATGGCTCAGGGTTATAATCATGCTGTTCAGATCTTCTGCATCTATACTGAGTTTTGTACTGCTTCCAAGTTATTCCAGAAGAGTATTGCTATGACCGTGGAGTTGTTTATTTCTATTTTAGTTCTGTCAGGTTTTGTTTTAGTTTTTTTTTGAGGTTAGATTATTAGGTCCATGTATCTATGAATATAATGATGTAGGTTTTGAATCTTCCAAGTAAATTAATCATTTTTTCATCATGAAATGCTCCCTTTCTCTTGTGATTAATAGTTTCTTGATTTAAATTCAACATTACCCAGTATTAGTATGTCTTTATTTTCTTTAGTGTTTATGTGGGTTTTTTTTATTCTCTGAGTCTCAACCTTTTCAAATATGTCTTATAAATACCATATTGTGGGGTTTTAATTTCTTTTTAAGGGTCATAGACTTTGTCTATTAGTTGTAGTAGCCTATTTATATTCAGTGTAATTATGATATAGTTAGGTTCAAATCTACTTCCTTACTAGGTTCTGCTCTATTTGGGTCATGTGTTCTGGGTCCCTTTGCCTCTACTTCCTTGCTTCCTTTTGGCTCCACAGCTGTTTCTCAGGAGAAAGATGGCATTAAGACCCCCAGGTTCACCTCTCTGGTCTTCCTTGCTCGCTGGGATCTAGACTTCTCACTGCCTTGGTAGCTGTCTGACACCTTCAAAGGAGGTTGTTTTCTTTATTTAAATATTTCATTCAGTTTTGATAGTTGTTTTTGGCAAAAGAGTTAGTCTGTAACAGTACCTCTATTATTAGAAGAGGTAAATCTCTCCCCTTAAAATTTTTGGGATGAGGGTCTCACTATATTGCCCAGGCTGGAGTGCAGTGGCTATTCACAGGCTCGATCCCACTACTGATCAGCACGGGAGTTTTGACCTGCTCCGTTTCCGACCTGGGCCGGTTCACCCCTCCTTAGGCAACCTGGTGGTCCCCCGCTCCCGGGAGGTCACCATATTGATGCCGAACTTAGTGCGGACACCCGATCGGCACAGCGCACTGCAGCCCAGAACTCCTGGACTCAAGCGATCCTCCCACCTCAGCCTCCCGAGTAGCTGGGACTACAGGTGCACACCACTATGCCTGGCTAATAATGCCATAAACTTTACAGATGCTCATTGATTTATGATGAAGTTCTATACTCATAAACCAACCCATCTTAACCTGAAAATGTCCTACTATAGAGTCTCCATTATTCTCTGTCCGTGGCTGCCCAGCACTTTCAGAGAAGACCACACAGCATATCACTAACCCAGGAAAATTCAAATTCAAAATAAGGTTTTTACTGAATGAATATCTCTTTCCTAGCATCATAGTCCAAAAATCATAAGTCAGACCATCCTAGTGCAGGGACTGTCTGCGGTTCAGTAGGTTGTCCGTGATCTAGAAGTACAACCGTCCTGCAGGTCCGACAGTACTGCAGTACTACAGCACTGTGGGTATTACAGTGCCCCGGAACTACAGTACTGCACAATCTTCAAGAATCCTCCTCTGCTGTGTGCCCAGGTTTGATTTCCAGGGTTGTCACTCCACAGCTGTGTGACTGTGGACTAATAACATTTAATGCTCTAATGGCTTCAATTGTAAACTGAGGTAAGAAACATCTATGCACAATGGTTGTGGTAATTACGAGTCGGTATCCACAGAGCATCTACAGTAATGCCTAGCACAGAGTAAACACTCAGTGGGTATGTCTCTTCTCAGTGAGGTGCCAGATGCTGACCATTATAGTTGACTAAGAGAGTGTCAGTAGGGTGAGACAGATGCAGGGAGTGCAAGGTCTGGGTCCTCAATCTCAAGAAGCTTTCTGATTAATTGGAGAGAGAGGACATAAATGGGACCATAAAGTGGCAACGGAGATTTCACCTTGGAACCTGTTTTGTCACTCACATGACATGGTAACAAGCATGTAGAGCCAGACAAGTTTGGGCTCCAATCCGGCTTCTGCCACTGACCCTGTATGACTTTTGTAAGATGTTTACCTTCCCTGGGTTTTCCCATTAGTTTTTGATAATGGGACTGATGATACCTAATGTACAGGGTAAGGTAATGCATGTGAAGTTTCCTGCTGCTCATAAGCACCTAGCAAATGGTCCTTCCCATCTTCCACTCTTGTTGTTGTAGAATAGATTAATAACAAAGTAGGGAGGATCCAGGGTAGTAATTACAGGATAGAAGGAATTAAGGAGTCTCAATTCCTTGCATCCAGGTGTGGTCGGCAAAGATCTTCCAGAGAGACAGGATCTAAGATAGGATCTCCTTTCTTGCAAGGAAGGAAAAATAATGAGGAAACGGAGGAGCAGAGAAATGTGAGGCAAGACCGGGAGGGGGAGGAGGGTGTACTATAAAACACCGGAGAGTCAGTGCAGAGCTTCCACGAACACTTTTCCACTTTTCCCTCTTGTGACCCCACCACGTCCTCCCAGCATCTCACGCTGTGGTGGCATCCTTGCTTCTAGTTCGAGATGAGGCTTAGAGGTTGTGGAACGGTTGTGGAACTGCACGCCTCACGAGGAGAGGAAAGGCCATCTGAGTCCAGGCAGTAGCTGCAGTGCGGCAGCCTTGGAATGAAAGATGGTGGCCAGGTGCAGACAGGCTTGCTGGAAGCTAGCAGTTGTTTTTAGTAGATGGCACGGCATCCCCAAAGCTTTATGGTAGCAGATTTGTGCTTGGGTGGTGTTTTAAGAACATGTATCTGGTAGCATTAGGCAAGAGAGAGGAAAGTAGCAAGACCAATTAGGAGGCGGTTGCCATGAGGACAGAGGGGATGACGTGACCTTTCTGTCTCCAAGGGCGGCCCTGGCTGGTAGGGAATGAGCAATCGCGGAGGAGGTGGACTTGAGTCTTTCTTCTTCCCCCTTCAGAATTGGTGATGAAACCCTGAAGAGGGAGGAAATCAGAAACCAAAGCAAAGAAAAAATAAACCAAAAAAAGAAAAAAAAAATCTAGTCCTTAGCATGCAGAAGGGGGAGAAGAACGAGGAGAGGCAGTGTTTAGTTCTCAGCCTGCACCTGACTAAACATCATCTGCTGTAAGAACACAAAAGAGCGCAGGCTGCACAAATCTCAGGAAACCGAGGAGGTTATGGGAGCAGCGAACCTGCACCGGAGCAGCGAGGCAGGAGTCCGTACCTGCAGCCGCTCGCCTCCCTGACTGTGTCCATTCGCTTACGGAAGGGTAGGGATTACTTTTTTTAAGCCAGAAACAAAATTGCTCAAAAACATCATTATATTAGAAAGTCACTATGCTCTAGATCACCACAGTTCATCTTGGGAGAGGATAACAAACGACATTATTGTAGCCGAGGGGCAAATGTTTAAGATTTTTCTTTTTAAAAAATGATATGGTTGAAGTTTCTGATTATCAGCTCCAACCTATCAGTTTTGCCTGCATTTCCTTTTCTTGGTGATACGCCTTTTACTACATCATGGCGCCCCTCAGCCCAGCCTCTCAGTACGGTGAAGGAGTATATATAATTCTTTGCTGGTCCTTCCTCTTTGCCAATCTGTTTTAAAACATAAAATCTGAAGCTGAGGCACACAAAGATGAAGTTCACAGATAACGGCTAGAAGTGTACATCAGGGATGTTTACACACTAGCACCATCCCATCTTTAGCAGATATTTATTGAGTGCCTATCACACACTGAAACCTTTTCTAGGTCCTGGGGAGAAAATGAAATTTCTGATTTCTCCTCTAATGAAACAGACAGAAAGATACAATAAGAAAATACCCAGTAGTGCTGCAAAAGCAATAAAATAATGTGATGGAGAGTGGTCGAATGGTAGAAGCTAGGGGTTAATAGCTGCTTAGGAAAAATCTCTGAAGAAATATCCCCTGGGCTGAGATTCGCATCATAAGAAGCCAGCTACCTTGGCAAAATTCAGAGGCCTTAGGCCAAGAGAAAAGAAAAGGTGAGTGCCTTGCAGTGAGATCAAACTTTGCATCTTGCAGAAGCAGAGGCAGCGAAGCCTGAAGCCTGAAAGTGGCTGGGAAGGAGCTTAGCGACAGGGGATGAGGCAGCCACTAGATTCTGCGGAGCCCCCAGGGCCAAGGCGACACCATGTTTGATTTAATCGAAGTGTCTTTGGACAATGCTAAGTGAAGTGTGAAGATCCGGTTTGTAGGATAAGACAGTCCCTCTTCTGTCCCTGTAGGAAAGGGATTATAGGACGTCCGGGTGGACACAGGGAGCCGCTTGGGGTGGCTGGTGGCATCCAAACACGGGCTGAAGGTGGCTTGGGTGGGGAGAGTGGAGACGGACAGAAGCGAGGGGGTGTGGGGCGCGGAGTGGAGGTGGCGTGCAGAGGTGTGAAGGAGCCAGCTGCCTAGGGTTTCAGTCCTTCACGCCTCCTTTCAGTTGAAATGGGTTTTTTAGGGCATGTGAACTAATTTACTTATGCACTTACTCAAAATATCCAAAAAGCAGATTTGAATAACCTTCCATTTACTGGGGGCTGGAGATTTAGCTCAGCGGCAAAGCGCCTGCCTGGCAAGCGCAAGGTTGTGAGTTCTGTTCCCGGTACCGGAGAAAAAAAACAACAACAACAAAAAACCAAAAACAAAACAAAAAAAACCCTTCCATTTACTGGACCTTGCTGCTACAGAAGAAATTCACTATGGGTAGATACATCTGAGGCCCTGTGGTCATTGTCCAAACCTAATGTATCTTTTAAAGCATTGTTATATTAAATCCCATTCAATAGTTGCTACTGTTCCAATCTTCCCAAGCAGATTATCTAGGTATCGCCTACTTTTACTACAACTTTTGACAAATCAGAGGATTTTTTTCCTACTGGTTAATTATGTTGATAGTAAGAACGATTCTTAGATTTTACACATCCCTGCTTCTTTATGAGCAGAGAGAAATAAAGGTTTGTGATGCACTTTGTGTGTTAGAACAAGACAGGAAGTAAAAGCCAAGTGTTACCCGTGATTCTCTAGGGTGGTAGAAAAATGTGTGACTTGTTTCTGTGTGTGTGTGTGTGTGTGTGTGTGTGTGTGTGTGACTTGTTTCTTTGTTCCTGTTTTTTTTTCTTCTACATTCTCTAAATGGCATGAATTACATTTTAAAATTGCAAGAATTTTGAGCTTTTTATATTTAGACAATCACCGCTGTCTATGTTAGTATGGTTCACAGTGAGAGACAACGAATAACACAGCTGTGGGCTATTAATAGTTTTCTTTTTCTTCTTTAAAAATAGATTTGCCGGAAGTTTCCAAGATGTGTACGTACGCTTATAGATTCCCTAAAAGAAGACAGAATGGTCTTCGCTAATGATGAAAAGTAAGCTAATGATGAAGAGCTGTCTGTTATTATTCTGTAGGAATCTAAGGTTAACTACCATGTAACTTTCTAGATGAGAAATCAGAATTACTAAAATATACTATGCTAGGATATCACTTTGGCATACTTAGATGGGCAGTAGGTTTTGGGATATAGTTTATACAAATGTTTAGTATTTCTATTTTCCTTATATCTAATCAATCCAGTATTTCTATTTTTCTTATATCTTTATAAATCCAGCCTTCTTTCAGGAGTCATAAAGAGAGTTATCTATTTACGGCCCATAGTGTAGTCCAGTAATCCTAAAAGGATCCTTGACTTCTAGGCCAAATTCCCTATGTAACCCAAGCCCACTTAATAGGCAGTCTACTAATCCAACAGCAAATCCAGGGGCCAGCATTTGGCAAGCTGGCCTCTCACAGGCACAGATCTGAAGAATGCTTCCAAATAGGCAGCTGTCAGTGAAACCCTCAAGGAAATCTAACACTGTCGGCATAACACTGCGTTACTGTGGCAGGGATTGCTGGTTATCAGGGTTTAGAAGCACAAGGAAGTATGGAGAAAGTATTGCTGGAGAAAGTCACTGGAGAGAAAGATGTCATTCTCTGTGCCATAGCCTTTTTAAATTACCAAACTAGGAGCCCGACCAGAAGCTAAAGAAACCTGGTAATTGCATGTCCATCTTCTGCTTGCAATGGGGAAAAATAAGTTACCACAAAAAGGTCTCCTTGGTTCTGGGTTCATTTTTGTTCTTTGGGCGGTTTGAGTTATTTTGTTTTTCAGCCTTTTTGAATGCAGGACCTTTGCACTGAGCTACATCACTAAGCCCTTTTTTTATCTCTTATTTTGAGACAGGGACTTACTAAGTCACTTGAGTTACCCAGGCTGGGCTCGAGCTTGTGATCCTCCTGCCTCAGCCTCCCAGAGTGCTGTGATTACAGGGCTGTGCCACTATGCCTGGCCTTTTTTTGCCTTTTATTTAAAATATTTCAGGTTTTACAAAACAAGATGAAATAAGGAAAAGTTCAGGTCTTATTTTTTTTAAATAAGGTACACTATGCAAATTCAATGTTCCAAGTATTCTTCAAAATTTCCAAATGCCTCTTAAAGTAAATTAAATCAATTAAATACTTGATGGCACTGTATGCACAAATAGAAGAGAGGGAAAGTAGACTGGAGAAGAAGTTATTATGTGAAGTTGTCTATGTATAAAATTGTCATTCCTTGGAAGGAAAGAAAGAGATTTCTTGTGTTTTAGGCAAGCCTCATGTTTTGCTAAAACTGTAAGTTAAATCTCACGGTACAGTTTCTGAACTGAATGCTTTTCTCCCACTTGTCCCTAGTGTTAAATTCCTGTCTTCGCCCCTCCTCATTGTACACGGAGAGGATGACAGAACAGTGCCTGTGGAAGATGCAAAAAAGGTAAACTAAGAATTTAGGATTGACGGAAACACACAATACTTATTTTACTTTTTTTTTTTTTTCCATCCTGCTGAATTAGTGCTTAAGAGAAGATCTCTGATACTATAAGGGGATCTCTATGCCCCTAAATAACCTGGTTTACAAATTGCGTATCATCTGCCTCCTAAGCTCAAAGGAGTGTTTTAGGGATTACTCAGCCACTCACCTGGTCCAAGTGGAGAGACGCTCCCAGGCTGTTGTGGGAAGCTCTGTGTGGGCTCTACAAATGTGCATGGTTTTGCCCGTTAGACAAACCTGTACTAGAGTGGCCCATATCATGCCTTGTCCCTTTGCAGCCAGAGAAAGGCAGCAGAAGGATGAGCATTTGTCAGTATTCTGAAGTAACTCTAGTATCCTGTCTCCTAGCGGGACAGGCTGTCTTGGGAGGGGTCTGGAGAGTCCCATGTCTCTGACTTAATGAGACAAGCTCTCCACGTTGGTTGTTTCTGTGTCTTTTAGGAAAACTGTAGCAGACCCATGGCCTATGAAACTGCCAGCCTTGAGTTTCTGCTTTTCTGTCTCTTACAGCTCTATGAAATTGCATATGCTGCCTACAGGCATAAAGAGAGGGTCAAGATGGTTATCTTTCCTCCTGGCTTTCAACACAACTATCTTTATGAAAGCCCCATGTTTGTACCAGTCTTGAGGTAAGAACTTCTTTGCTAAATGATTGTTGTCCTGGAAAGGCAACTTGGGCTGCTTTGGTTTACTGAGTCCAGGAGGAAGAGGACACGGCAGCTGATCCGGGTCCTTTTTTTGCAGAGATTTCCTGAGCAAGCAGTGGGCATGAGGTCTGAGAGCAGCAGCAAAAGTCTTCAGATGAAGATCTGTGAGGTACTTTCTTGATGCAACACTGAACAAGGCTGCTTAGAGGAGCAAAAGGCCTGCATGCTTCTTCCACAAGCCACGGGTCATTTTAAGAAGGAATGCGTGGATGCTGGGTGGTGTGGAATGTGGAGAATCAGAACTTGGTAAATTTTGGATACTATCTAAAATATATGGTCAACAAACATTCTGGGAATGAGTTGGTTGCTATGGCTTCGTGTCTGTGTCTGCCCCCAAATTCCTATGCTGAGACTACTCACCAATGTGATAGTTTTGGGGGGGGGGGTCCCGAGGGCTGGACTCTCATGAACAGGATTAGTGAAATAAGCCCAGAGTACCTCTCCCCTGGGGAGGACACAGTGAGAAGGCCCCATCCGTTAACCAGCCCTGTTTCTCACTGGTCACTGAATCTGCCAGGTCCCTGATCTTGGACTTTTTATCTCCAGAACTGTGGGAAATAAAATTTTTTTTTGTTTATAAGTTATCCAGTTTATGACTCTTTGTTATAGAAGCCTAAATGGGCCAAGACAGTAGTGGTCTTTGGTTTGACTTAGACAGCACTGTGAGAAATGTGTTTCAACGTAGTTAAAGAATTTCTATTTTAGTTTCGTTCATTTAATGGCATTAAAAAGTTCTGGGCAGTTTTCTAGCTTTCTTTTAGTTGTTTTTTTTTTGTTTGTTTTTTTCTTCCAGTACCGGGAATCGAACTCACGACATTGAGCTTGCTAGGCAGGCACTGTGCCACTGAGCTAAATCCCCAGCCCCAGTTTTCTAGCTTTCTGATTAGTTTTAGGGAGAGTCCTAGTAGGCTACTGATCTGTTATCAAGTAATAAGTTTTGGCATCATGCAGTCCTTGTAATTGACACTTTATTTTTAGCCCTAAATATAGTCATATACTTTCCTGTTCCCAGACATACTTAACTAGTATCAGCTGACAAAACACACACACAAAATCAATGAATGTTGTAAAAATGTTCAAGTTCAATAGGAAGCTCCGTTTTCTAGGGACAGTTTACAGTTCCATTCCATTGGCTTTGCTGACCCCATTGCTAGATTCTTTGGACAGGGAAATCTTTAGATCCGAAGGTTCCATGTTCCAGATGTCCCGGGCATATTCCTTAATTGTCCGGTCGCTGGAGAATTTCCCTGAGGCAGCTATGTTTTTGAGCACCATCCTGTTCCAGGCTTTTGGATTCTGTAAACAACATATGCACATACAGCCAAAGGCCTGAGTGGCCGGCAGGCCTGATGACAAACATCACATCAAGCTCATCTGATAGGGAAATGACAGAACTCCTGTGAGCTGTAAATATACTCATTCTACAGTTGATAGACAGGTAGGACAGACTGCATTTTTCTCATAGTTAGAGTATATTTCTCTTAGGAATGAAAAAGGAGTATTTTTTTCATTTTAAGAGACATGGAGGATATAGTTCTGCAACTGGTAATTCCTGCTGTGGTTACGATGTTTAGGGATGAACACCGTATTTCTCGCGTTTTATTATGAATGAAGCAATCCCTTTTTAAACTACGGAGGAGATAAATATTAATGCCATGCAACACGCCATGTCAAAAGAGTTATTCTGTTGTTCACACAGTTTCCAAACACTACCCTCGAATGTTCTCTGTGAGTGTCACGCAGGCGGGCAGTGCAGTGAAAGGCTGTGTTGACCTACTTAGCTGTTTTTGTTCTCGCTAGAGGCACATGCCCCGGGAGGTTGATATGGAGGCCCAAAGACTCCACTGGGGTTAATTAAAGCTTTATCCTTAAAACTATAATCTCAAAATGTTATATAAAAAAGATAATAAAAAGACATTTAATGTATGGCCTCATACTTTTGTAAAGAATGCTGAGTTAGCCATGGTGGCGCACACCTGTAATCCCAGCACTTGGGAAGCCTGAGTTCAGGATTGCCATGAGTTCAAGGCCAGCCTGGACTACATAATGAGACCCTGTTCCAAAATGCCCCCAAAATACGCCCCCTCAAAAAAACTCTGAAAGTTTACTAGATGTTATTCAAAGTTGTTTAACAATACATTATAAGCATTTAAAACAAAGACTAAAACTATCATCATACCTCCAGGTACTATAAAGCAGAGCCTGAAATTATATTGACTCAGGCTTTGCAAGCTTTACTATAATAAAAGCAAATGAGTTTCCACTCTTCCCTTTATTCTACTGTTTAAACAGGTAACGGCTAGACTTCCAGCCGTGCAGGTCGTGTTTACCAAGCCTTCACCAGACAATTATCGAAAAGTGGGAAACTGCAATTTGCACTAATGAGCAAGCAGGACCGGGTCAAATGCTGGGCTTCTAGGCGGGCATCTCTGGACTTGGGCCACAGTTTACAGAGGAGACGTGCTGTGTGAACTGACAGTTACAGTTGCTCTTGTCCTTGTTCATATTTTCCTTCCCTGCTCTGTTTTCTTTGCATTGCTCAAGGTAGCCCTTCTTTTTCCTCTGATTCTGAGTCCAGAGGGGGCGCTGTGTGTGCCCCTGAGCTTAGCTCTGCTGCTGCTCCCTGTCCTCACAGCCCTTATCTTGGACTCACTCTACCGGGTCTGTAGACTCTTGGGGCACTGGTGTGACTCAAAGAGAAAGTAAGGCCTGGAAAGTAGCACAGGCCTTGAATAGTCCTATTTTACAACTGCCTGGGGACATCAAGGGTGACTGTGGGGACTGCCTGTCACTTGTCTTGGGAAAGAATAGAGAGAAATATTAGTGGCGCCTCTCAGGAGTCAGGGTGCGAAGCTCTCCTCCCGTATGCACTGCCCTGAGATTCCTGCGATTCACTAAGAGTCACTCCTGTCACAGGTCAACCTTCCCACCTCTATACCTAGAGGGCTATTGGGTAAAAATGTACAACTTTGCATGTGAAGGCTTGTTCACGTGGCTCTTGCCCTTTTAAAAAATTCCAGGTAGTATGGTATTTTTTGTTGTTCTTTCTTTTAAAAAAAATTCAGCATAAAGGGACCGTCTTTCTATACATTTATGTTCTACTCATACAGCCCAACTCCATGAGAAGTCCAGGAGAGGTACTTATTTTGCAGTTTTCAAAGATTGGGGGGTCAGTCCTTATCCCAGTAAACTAAGGCTCAGCCTTAGAAACATCCTGGCAGGGTTTTCAAATGCTGATGGTGGATCCCGCCCACTACTGGGTTAGAAACTCTATGGGCAGAGGGGCGGCAGCATCTTTGTACCTTGGGACAGCTGCCCTGGTGACAGTGATAGGGGGTTCACACCCCCCGTGTTCCAGGCTGACTGGGGGCGGGGCTTTGCCCAGGCTGTGTCTCAGTGCTCAGCACCGTGCCCAAGGCCCCACCGCCTCTCTGAGGCTTTATATCTTGAGCTGCCAGGTTGTGTCTCCTACAGTGTAGGTGCTCAGGCAGTGATGAATCATTTGTGATTTTTAACTTGGATATTAAAAAATTTACAATTGCTATGGAAACTCAAATCCCAGCCTCTGCTTAAACTTGGAAAAGTCATGTTTTGATCTAAGTAACCTGGAAAGTCGCCTCACTTCTTTTTCTTTGTGGGGCGGGGGATGGAACACAGGGCCTGTGCATCCCAGGCATGTGCTGCATGGCTGAGCTACGTCTTCAGCTTATCCTGCCCCCTTTTCGGTGGTGGGGGAGGGGCTACTATTTAGATTTAATAAGAACAGTTTCATTAGCCACAGTAAACTGACTTCTTTTACAAATCTGTGCAAGTTACTCACCATGTACAGCTGACTGACTTTTTCTTGACATTTGACGTATGCTTCATAATCTGCAAAGACTTTAAACCTGCGTTTGTGATTGGAAGGAAAAAGCAAAAGAGCACAAAAGCTCCATTAACAGATGCACGCTAAAATTCCACTTAAAATTCTCTTTTGCTTAATGTCAGGCAGGACTGGTTTACCCAAAACTCCTATTTCTGTTCATAAGAGTGTTCAGCAGCCTGCTACTTTTTTGCGGTTCTTGCTATAAGTAAAAATGTCATCATATGGATACACTTGAAAGCTGAGCATTATCAGTGGAAGGAGAAAAAGGACACCAGGTTTGAAGATTTTATTCTTTTTTTCCCCTTTTAAAAATTATTAGTGTATGTGTGTGATATAGAATAGTTGCGTTCATCCTGGGGATTTTAGCACACATACATTTATATCGTGGTCATTTTGACTCCTCTCCCCTCTACGTATCTCCCATAAAACCTACCCCACTATTTCCTACTATCTCTCTCCTCTTTTGCTCTTTAAATCATTTTTATTTTTGGTTTCTTTTGTTAGAGAAACCATGCAATATTTAAATTTCTGTGTCTGATTTATTTCACTTAGCATTATAGTTTCAAAAGCCATGCCAGGGCCGGAGATATAGCTCAGCGGCACAGCGCCTGCCTAGCAAGCATGAGGTCCTCAGTTTGATTCTTGGTACAACAAACAAACAAACAAACAAACAAACAGAGCCTTGCCTTTTCTTGAGGATTTCACCCTTACACCTTACTGACATTGGTGAAGATTAACTCTTTTTCCCAAGCTCTGGTTTGCTGATCAAGTCACATATCAATGCTAATCTAAGTGAGCAGATTGTCATTGGTTCAATATGTTTTTATCCTCCTTTTCACAGCCCAAATGATACCAATTTCTTGTGGGAACTCACCTGTCATGATAAAATAGCATGTTGGTGATGTCTTTGAAGAGGTCAGGTTGCTTGGGAGAAAAGAAACCATTGTCAATTTGATCGATGACCAGCTTCAGCTCTGGAAGTGCCTCATAATATTCTTTTGCCTCATACCTGCAGGGAAGGGTAGATGGGAGATGACATACAGGTTCTGTTAGTGCATGTGACTGATAGCATATTAAAAGCTGCATCAGCCATAAAAGTGCATTCAGAAAGACTAGCATTTATGGGAGTCATTATCAATTTCAACATGGGTATAAATAATTTTTAATAGATCCTGACATGTATTTCCCCCTTAAATTTGATTCATTCCATGTAACTGTAAACAATAAGAGTAGTAGATACTGAAAACTTCACTCATAGAGCCATAGTTGAATCTGCTAGAACACAGCAAGATTTATTTCAAAGCAGTCTTCATGGTTCTAAACAAGCATTGTTTAGACCAGTTGCTTTTTGGACCCATAGATTCTTAAACTTTGTTGCTGTGGAGTGCAATTTATTTCTAAGGGTCAGGAATTATATTTTATACCCTCCAAACATTATCTGTGGTGCTGCTTTGGGACTACTCTTCATTTCTTGCTTGAATTCAGATTAATAAATTTATCTAGATATTAAATGAACACAGATGTTCCTGAGTGTTTCTCTACCCTTCTCTACTCTGTCCCACCTTTTGACCTACCTTTCTGGAATCTTAAAAAGAGCACTAGATAGTGGTTTAAATGATAGGCACTGGTTCACCTCTTCATAAGAACAGAATCACAGGTACAGAGAACTGCTTGAGGTTGCCATGGCTCCACAAGTAGCAGTTCAACAAAGAGCGACT